GAACCATAGATTCATAGAATAGTTTGGGTTGGAAGGGTCCAAATCCCCTGCCATGGACAGGGACACCTCTCACTAGATCAGCTTGCTCAAAGTTCAACTTCACTTCGAACACTTCCAATGATGGGGCATCCATAACTTCTCTGGGCAACCAGTTTCTGTGTCTCACTAGTCTCATTTTTTAATTTTTTTTTTCTTATGTCTAATCTAAATCTATCCTCTTTCCATTTAAAATCAATGCCCCTTGTCCTGTCACTACAGGCCTTGGTAAAAAGTCTTTTTCTGTCTTTCTTACAAGCCACCTTTATATACTGAAAGGCCACAATAAAGTCTCCCCAAAGCCTTCACCTTCTCTGGACTGAACAACCCCAAATATCTCAGCCTTTCTTCACAGAAAAGGTGCTCCAGCCCTCTGATAATTTTCATGGCCCTGCTCTGGACCCACTCTAACAGGTCCATCCCTTTTTTGTACTGGGGGCCCCAGAGCTGGACACAGTAGTCCAGGTTGGGACACACTAGAGCAGAGGAGCAGAACCACCTCCCTTGACCTGCTGACCATACTTTGATGCAGCCCAGGATACAGTTGGTTTTCTGGGGTGCAAAAGCTCACATTGTTGGCCATATTTTATTTTTCATCTACCATTCAGTACTTGTCACCTCTGAAGGATTACCACAGAAGACTCTGTAGAAATGGAAAAAGTACAGAAATGTTATCAGAAATATGAGATCTATAGTCACTATGGAATTCTTCAGCTTGGAAAAAGCAAACAAACAACTGAGTGATGATTTGACAGAAGTTTGTAGCATCTGAAACAGGAGATGGTGAATAAGGAATGAGGAATGTTCTCCTAGAACAAGAACAAAGGAGCCATGGAACTGGCACAAAATTAGTCCAGGAAAATGTGGGTGTTTTTTTGTTTGAATGTTTTTATTTATAAGCAAATTTATTAATACTTTACTATCCAACATTATCAAGAAAAAAATTGAGCAGTCTTAGGAAGGGATTAGTTGAATCTTTAAGGCCAGAGCCATTAGGTACGTATTATCTACAACAGCTTAGACATAACCTCCAACTCAGGAAGGCTCTGAGCCAGATACCAGGTAAATATATCAGTTAAGGATTTGTTTGTTTACTGTATACTTTTTCATGCTTACTACAACCAGGCTTTAAGCATCCACTGTAAATATTGGGAGAGATAGAATGACTGTTTAGACCCCTTTGTTAGGCTATATTCCTTTATTACAGTCTCTGCAATGGAAGGGAAGAAGAAGGTGTCTACGTGCTGAAACAGCATCATGAATCCATCATCAATCTGCAGTGAATGAAAAAAAACTTTAAAATGTGCATCAACACCCTATGTACCTCTGAGGGCAGCAGAAAGACAAACAGGTTAGAGACACACTTCAAGGCTACTGCAAATGCAAACAGCCTCATTTCAAAAGTCTGCAATATACATGCAGGCTGTGAACAAGGAGCTGGAACCATTTTAAAAAAAGAGAATAGGAAAAGCCATCCAGTTGTTTCAGATGGCTTTACATCTGCATTTCTAGGCAGCAAATTAGCCTTCAACAATGAGGACCATATGCTCCTCCACCAACAAACTGGAAAGGACACAAGGAATCTACAAAGCTTTTGATCTAAACATGGCCCATGTTGAGCCAGTTTGCATGAGGAGTCTGGGTCCACCCACAGAATGCCAGAGTGAAACATCTATTGTGAGATACGTGGAACTGTTAGAATCAAGGATGGAGCATATGGAACCCTGGCAGCCACTTGGAAGGACTTAAAAAGGGCCAAAACAGGCATGAATTCATTGTGCTACTTACCTCCCACATATGGGACAGGACACACAGGGTTTATTTTCATGGAAATTTCAGCTCTGTAGCAAGAGCAGAAGGAGCCTTTAGGGAGTCGGGAGAAGAGGCAGAGGTCATTCGTTGGAGTTGTACAGGAATAAGATTGTGTGTACAAATGTGTATGACTGAATGCACAAGCAACTACCCAGGGACTGGCAGGATGGGCTGGTTTTGTTCTCTGTTATCTTGCTGAGATAAAGGATTCTAAGAAAATATCCAGCTATTGTTCCTTGAGACCTTGGAGGGCTTTCCACTGCAAGCTTACTTTTCTAGCAAACCATTCAGCCCCATTTTCCTTCTTTACATAAAAGACAACCCCCAGGCTAGCAGAAACAAAACAACTAGACTAGTTGGGGTAGGATGGTAATTAGAACTATTCAGGTCACAACTTACTTACTACCTTAATCTCATGCAAATTCAGGCAATACGTTTCTGTTTGAATAAGATTAGGAGAAGGGAGTAATAAACATTACTTCTGAGCAAGAAAGAGAAAAATGCCTTCTGTTAAAACACAGGCAGAATCTTGGATGTTTGAGCATACAGTAAGGGAAGGGCTGTCATGATTTCATAACAGTATATTCAGCGTAAATAGAGTTGTAAAATGTGGCTTAGGGCATTAATTGAGATGCCTAGCTCTCATTTTTTTACCATAGAGGAAACATTGGTGAATCTTCACCCAGATACACAGGCTGAGGGGCTGGAACTACTCCGTGGAAAGCCCTACAGAGGAGCATGTCATAAGTGTCTCCTGAATCCTCAGAATGATGACTCCTTCATATCAGTATCTAGCACTGGGGAAGGTAGCAGCAACAGTAACTTTGTGGCTCAAGCTAATGATCAGGAAGTTGAAAACCTGGATCTCACAACCGCTCCTAAATCTTGAATCACCAGGCTATAGGATTCTAGGATGCTTTTTACCATCCCCCACTGCAGCTGGACCTAATGCAGAAGATTCATAGGGTCAGCAACAAAGTTTGTGGATGCTTTGATTCTGTAACCCAGTAAGTGGATTCCTCTGGCACAGCAGAGCTGTAGGTTATGCCCATTGCTTCCAGTGTTCACTACGTACTTGATTCAATTATGCCTAGGTGGATATTGAACAAGTCCCTAGAGCAGAAATTAATTCTGAACAAAACCAATCATTAAAGTTTCAAAAGAAAACTACTGTTCAGCTCCCCTAGCCTGAGAGTGGCATGTTGGTCTGCAAGTTCCAGGTTTCTGAAGAGATCTTCAGATCATACTGTCTGCTCTGCAGGGTCATATCAAGGGTTCTTGTATCTATAAATCCTGTCAAAAGCAGCCTCTGCAAATGCTCAGTGAAGTGTAGAAGGGCAGAAGGACAGAAGGAACAGATAGCTCCTAGACAACCGATGACAATCCAAATGGGTTGCATCCAAAAGTCACTTGAGCTGAATAAAATTTTTCCTACTCACCACTTTTCTTGGTTATTAAAACCACAGCAACTCAAGGCCCAGCAAGGTGATGCACATCTAAGATGTGAATGCAGATACCTAATTTGCATATGAATTTGAACACCTCCTTTTATTACATGCCTAGACAGAGCACAATCATACAGCCTGGAAGAAATTGTTTGTGCTACTCCTAAGAGGCCAAAGAAGAGACCAACAACAAAAAAAACCCATTGATTTCAAATGGACTAAATTCAAAAACCCTTGAAGTGTTCATCAATATTCTCTACCAAAGGCTGCAACTGCCTGCCTTTTTCTGTCAAGAACATCAACCTGAATGTGCACACCTTTCAGGTTTAAAATGGCATTTATACGGACTTAAATTCTGAAAAAACAATTCATTTCACTGCAATTTCTGAATCAGCAGTCTCCCATTAACCCAGCAGGAGGAATCAGCTGGCACAAACACAAAATTCCTTCTCATTATCTCTGTCAAATAATACAGCAAAGTCAGGAGAAAACTTCCTACCTCAAAGCTGACATAGATGAACCTACAGAATTTCTTGAGGCCTGATCAGATGAGCTAATACTAATGTTATTGTAAACACAATGCACTTAACATACAAAAGGAAAGACTTATAGGAAGAAATTATATTTTTTTATTAGTACAAATTTTATATTTGAAAATAGAAACATGATTTTTTGGACTGCAAGCCCACCTTCAGGTCTAAAACCAAAGCCTTTCACTGACCACAGAGTGGCAGCTCTGAACACATGTTCTCACCTTGCACCATTTTCTTTACAGCAGAACTGAGAAAAAAAAAAATAAAAGGCTTCCCTCTCTCAATACAGCCTATTACTCAGAAAAAAACCCAAGAATAAATTACATAGTTAAGAGTAATTATATCATAATCAGCCAATGAACTTAAAACCATACTGCTCTCTAACACTTAGAAGCAGAAAAACCCCAGCAGATACAGACATGTGCACCTTCACAGCATTTCTTCCTTGTCATTTTCTGTTACCTGTTCCATTCCCTTCCTTTTTCTGCACCTTTCAAGCCCTTGGGTTTCCTTTCAGTAATGTTTCTTCTTCCCCAGGGTTCTCTACAGCCTACTTGATGTATCCCATGTTTCCTTCTTACCCTTAGAATACACAGTGATACATTGCACCTTAACATTTCTTTCACAATTTTCTTTACCCTTCTATTACTCACTGGGACTTTTTCACTTTAGTACTGATTTCATGCCAGTAGTGGAACAGTTGAGATATGAAAGCTCCTTGGTGAATCTTAGATCTATTTTACAAGCACATAAAAGTTCTACAAAATCGCTCTTAGGAATATAAGTTTTCCTTACAAGGTTTCCAAGCCTGTCTTCTGATAACATCTCATGCTGTTGATTCTGCACTTCCTGCCATGAGTTTTCCCTCAGGCAACCTGGTATTATTGCAAGATGACTCTGGTCTGTCAGAGGATCATAAGGAGGCTAAACTGTTCATTGTGGATAAGCTGAGAAGTTCGAAAACCACCAAAGGGCAGTATCTGGATTGTCTTTTATGTCAAATCTTTGAAGGCCATTGAGAAGGATACTGAGCTACTTCAAGTCTTTCAACATGTTTGTCTGGAAGCTGGAAAAAGAGGTTTATTTGTTCTGAGGTTGAAAGGTTGGTTTTCATCAGATAGTTGCAACCTCTTGCAGTTACCTGTAGCTTTGGTATTCATTAATATTCGCCCATTTAACAGATTTCTGTGATCCTCAAAGACTGCTGCCAGGAAAAGTAATCATCTGATTTCAGGTTTTTGTAAAGTTGAATAGCCTGCATTTTTGATACATCCTTTTCCTTCTCAGTGATAGATTCATCATCAGATACAGGCTTCCCAGATGTTGCTTTGCCTTCAGAAGGTTTCTTGGCTTGGTGGTCTTCCTGACTAATATCCATCTTCACACTGGATTTCAGGCTGTGGAAGCAATAGTCACCAACCTGGCAAAGGAAAACTGGCTCAGTGCTGTCAGGGTTCAACACCACCAAGTTACCCTCTGGCAGAGGCTGCTTTCTAGGAAGATCGTTTCCCTTCTGTAAGACAGGCAAAGAAATTGTTGTGGGTTCTGAATGTTCATGGAGATTTAAAGGGACAGAAAGATAGTCTCCAAATGCCTCCAGGTGTGATTCAGGAGAAGAAGCTGGTGCTTGGCCTGAAACTGGGACCATGACACAAGTTTTCCTGGGAGAAAACTCATGGCAAGAGTGGTCACTGAGGGGCTGGGGCTCCTGTGAGTCACCAGGTAACTCCCCAGCAGTGACTAGAGGTGGACGGGTGGAGTCACTGGCTGATGGCAGCGACAGGCTCTCTGTAGTGATGTACTCCAAGGGGTGCTGCTGAGGAGACGTGACACAGCTAAGAGGCCCTGTATGTTTCTGCTCTTCTGTTCTTGTGTTCCTGCCCTTCCCACAGGCTGGTGGGGCCGGTGAGACTCCTTTCTCATTGCCGAGATGCTGCATCACTTCTTTCTGACTTGGGAGCAGAAGGGGTTCTGGAGGATCTGCTTCTGGCTGGTTTTGCCTCTGAGGAGCCTGGGGACAGTCTTCTTTTGGGAGGGTCACATACTGAAGGGAAACCGATTTCTCACGGACTCCCACTGGATCCAGTGCCAGGCTCTGATGCATATCAGGCTGGGAGGACATCACCGGGGTGTACAAGTATGGACCATTGAAATCAAAACGAGGGATTGCTGTCTGGGAAGCAATACTTGCATCAAGACTTTTTCTCTTTGAAACAGGCAAGGCATGACCAGCAATCCGACCTGAGCAGTCATCTGACTCATCCAAAGCATGGTATGGGTTTTGTAGGTTCAGCACAACAGTAGAAACATTGGTCTTCTTAGCCTGCTCTTCAAGGACTGCCAAAGTCTTTGTCTGCCTGAATGTGGGGAAGTTAAAAGTTGCTCATGAGAGGTATGATTGTGGTAAACATTCAATTTAAAGCTAACTTAGTTGAAAACGCATATTTACACATAGGGTTAGAAATGTTACTTATTGGAGAAGCAGGCTAACCAAGATAACAAAAAATTATACCCGTTCCTCAAAAGCAACTTGTATAGGCTTTTTAGTGACAGAACATTTGTTTATATCCTGTCATGATTTAGGGAGTTCTTTGAGACTGTCATTCACAGTGTCACTATAACGTGCTGCTCACTCACCTGCCCACAACTTGCAGGAAGCTAGCCTGCTCCATCTTCTCTGAAAGGCTGTGTTTGTTGAAGTCCAGCTGGCTGCTTGTTGGCCAGGTCCCTAAAGGTACCTTCTGAAAATGAAAAAGCAGACATGACAAAAGAGCAGTGTCTCACTGGTAGTAGAATCAAGAATTACACATTCCTCATGGACAAAGAAAACAAACAGGAGAGCCTATGTCCCCAGAAGATGGTCACTTCAAACCTGTATTGCCTTACCACTGACCTAACTATAAGTACTCAGTGATCCAGCTGGGAAAGACTTGTTATTTGTGAACAGAGGAGGACTCGTGAAAGATGTAATGGTAGGTGACTGTCTGGGCCATAATGATCACAAAATTATGGAGTTTAAAATCTTCAGAATAATGAGAAAGAAAGACAGCAGGGTTGCTACCCTACATTTTAAGAGAGTAAATGTGAAGCTATTCAGAGAGGCACTTAGCAATGCTCCTTGGGAATTGCTCCTTGGGAGATCTCAGGGGTCCATGACTGTTGGTCAGTCTTCAAGAATGACCTTTTAAAAGCACAGGGGCAGGAAATTCCAATGTGTTGTAAATCAAGCAAGCAGAGCAGACAACCAGCTTGGCTGAACAGGGAATTCCTTCTGAAGCTCAAGAGGAAAAAGAAATTGCATGATCTCTGGAAGCAAGTTCAGGCTTCACAGGAAGATGTCAGAGCTGTGGTTCGTATATGCAGGGAGGAGACACAACAGGTCAAAGCTCAATTAGAGTTGAAGCTGGTCAGTGTTGTATCAGGCAATGAGAAGGGCTTTTTAAGGTACATTAACAGCAAGACCCAGTTGAAAGAAAACATTAGATCAATGCTCGTTGATGATGGTCACTTCACTAATTGGGATGAAGACAATGCAGAAAAATTCAGTGCATTTTTTGGCCTCAGTTTTTAATAATACTGATAGACCTTGGGCTGCCCAGTACCTCGAGCAGAGGACAATGTATGTGGGGACAGTGACTTTCTATTTGTGGACACTGAAATCGAAGAGACCAGCTGCATCAGCTGAATGATCACAATGTCTACAATGACCTCATTGCTCTCTTTCTGAGAAGGGGACGTTGAGAGGGAGGTGCTGAGCTCTTCTCCTGGGGATCCTTTGACAGCATGCATGAGAACGGCTCAAAGCTGCACCAGGGGAGGTTCAAACTGGATATTAAGAAGGACTTCTTTACTGAGAGGGTTGTCAAACACTGGAACAGGCTTCCTGGGTTGATGCCCCACCCCTGTGTCAGTGTTTCAGAGGCATTTGAACAATACCCTTAATAATTTGCTTTAACTTTTGGTCAGCCATAAAGTGGTCAGGCAGTTGATTAGATGATCATGGTATGTCCATTCCAAATGAATTATCCTATCCTATCCTATCCTATCCTATCCTATCCTATCCTATCCTATCCTATCCTATCCTATCCTATCCAACTTTCATAGTATAGAGGATAGGACGTGCTCTCTTAAAGAGCTCATAGAGATGCTGCAGGTTCCTACCACAACAAACACCAAAGCTACTGCTTTTTACAGTGTGTGCTCTTTTCCAACACCATATGGGGACACTCTGGGCAATATTTCACCTACAGAGAGAGGTACAATGACTGTCCTTCTGTACCAGCTGACCAGAGACACAGAATTAGTGGGACATTTACCAAATTTAGGATAAGGTAATTAAGTGCAGGGATGGAATATTTCAAAACCATGAAATTAAGGCAGTGAGTGCTTTTGGATGGAGAAACAGGTAAGGGATGGGTAACAAAGCTGTGAAGGTGATTCTTAGAGTCAAAAAATTTCTAGCTTTTACTATGGAGTTCATGCAAAAGAAACTAACCAGAGACTTAAGTATAAGCTAAACCAGTTTGTCTTCTGGTGCAAGAAAATCCACACCTAGTCTTTGCCAACTATTTGAAAATTTAATATTAAACTAGGTCATTAACATGAAAGTCCATTTTATAGCAACATAACAATTGTGTGATGGTTAACAAATGTGTTAACTCCTTCACTCACACATAAATGTAGATACTGGAAGTGTTCATTTGTCTCACACAAAAGGCATGTTGCACATGATTGCCATGAACCTACACTCACTGGAACCCATCCTTTATGAACATAGAATAGAATCAACTGTTCCACAAAAATATGCCTCTGTATATGCGTTTGTGTGCATGTGTGTGTTGGGGTGGCCACATTATTGAATGAGCTATTATTGCAAAACTGGAAGACTTTTACCACCAAAATCTAGGTATTCCTGTATCACTCTTTCCATGTGGTGGAAAAGGGACCGAGGTTCTACTTAAACAGCTTTGACCAAATGCTAAGTGTTTTCCTTGATTCCCAGTAAAGAATGCTTGTCATGGTAACAGACAGGCACATGGTAACATTTATTCCTGAAAATCCAGCTCCTTAAAATAAAAGTTTCTTTAATAGGACTACCAACCCATTCTAAAAAGCTCTGAACTAGTTTGATTACTATTTGGAGACAAATGAAAGCACCAGCTGATCAAGTTTGCTAATGCCACTACCTTATTTCAGACAGTCAAAATTTTAAAGCACAGAAAATTTTCTAGCTTGATTAAATCACAGTGATGCTGACCAGCACAACACAAAGTCTAATAGTATACATGTAAGAACACATTTATGTTGAATACCACCAGAACTCCTAACAATAAGGATTAATAATGACAATATCTGCTCATTGTGGACTAGGAGACAAGATCTCTTACTATTATTGAAAGTCCTGAAAAAGAGAGACATAATGAACCCTTAAATGTATGGTTCCCTCTTACCCCCAGGTAGCTCTGGATAAGGAGACTCTTGCTGGGGTTCGGAATCTTTTCCTCCCACAGTTGCTTCTTCCTGCAACAACAACACAGAGTTCTCAAGATTTGCTTCTCAGCCTGGACCTGCACCCCACACACCCTGCTGCTCTGCATAGTGAGGCACCACCAAGGCCCTGGCACACCACCACCCTGCTCACACCTTGCACACACGTGCACAAGGCTGCCCACTGCACACCAAGGCTCATCTCCACAGAGACCTCTTTCTCCTGGGGACAAGCTGTGCCTCACACCCATGGGGCCAACATGCTGCTAAATCTCCTAAATCTCACAACACAAACCTACCTGAGGAAATACTTGTAGCTGAAGTAAGCAATGATTAGCAAAGTGATGATGAGAACTGGGAGCATCACTGGGAGAACCACAGGTGGGAGAACTGAAACAGAGTAGAGACAAATAGGTAACCACCTGTAAAGTGTTTGCTTCGCATAACAGGGTTTTCACTCTGGTCAGTCTTCGTGCAAACAGATGAAGGAATAGGATCATGAGGCCTTAAAGCTGTTGGGATACCCTCCAAATTAGGAGAGACCAAAAGTGGCCTGAACAGCTCACTGGCCCAAGGTGTTCATAGTTTTACTTTACTGAGTCTTTGCTGGTTTTTACTGACATCAGAGGAAGCAATTTAGGCTAATAAAGATATCATTAGGTACCTTACTCCACCATGAACAATGGACATGTCTTCAGGCATGTTTGTTGCGTCACCTTACTCTGCACAGTCCTGAAGAGTTGGGGTCTCAGAAGTTTTTCTAAGAAAGAGCTTCCTCTGCTAATGGCCATGATCATTAACAAAAAAACAATTTCATCCTGAGCACATTCATCAAAATTTGCCTAATGTCTTACCACTACAAGCTTCCTCAGGACAAAGAATGTAAAACCATATTACTTTGGGCACAGGACCACAGTGATGGCAGGCATTTTGCCTCTAGGTCTAGAAACAGCAAAAACATGTAAAGGTTCCTATCTCCAATAGACTCTACAGTGTATTTTAAGCAACCCCATAGCCACTGTGCAAACATAAAGGCTGATGGCTTATATTCTGTATTCTTGCAGTCTCAGGCTGAACTTGTGACTTATGAATTTGTGACTGAAGGTCACAAATAGCAGGATGGACTACTGGAAGCAGGAAACAAGGATGATCTTTTGGGTGGGACTTTTGCTTGATTCTCCATGTAGAAACCTTTACTGTTGGTCATACTCACCTTGTGAAGGGAAGTAAGAAAGGAAGCTTAAAAGGTCATTCCTGCTCACCTCCTCCATTAGCACCACTGCTTAACTGCAAGGATGCAGACACAACAGCTACTTTGTTGAGCAGCTCCAGCTACCTCATGGTTGCACCAAACCTCAACCCCAGCTGAGAGAGTATCTATTTTTCTATAGAGGCATTTCAGCTATTAACAGTCCACAACACCTTACAGAGGAAGCCTACATGAAAAGTACCATTCTCAGTCTTCCAAGTGAACTCCTCACTCCATTCACTCCAAGGCCCCTCATATGCCTGTTGCATATTCACCCTCGCACGCATTTTCCCCCTATATTCTGTAGATGATGCCAGCATCTGCGGGGTGAAGATGAAGGGGGGTTCATCATTGCTGATATTTAACTTCTGGAGAGTCTGGAGAGAAGAAAGCATCACAAATGATAGAGGTGAGAGGAGATGTCTTCCCATTTGCCCAGCAAAAATCAATCCAGGACTCCTGTACCTCCTAAGCCTCACCTTTTCATATTGGTTGTTTTTCCAGTACTCAACTTGGTATCTCTGTGTTATGGATGGATATGCGAAAGTGTGTTTTATCCACTTCAGTTCATATTCTTGGTTCTCTGTCCTTGTTACTGACACATTTACAGGTGGCAGCGTCTTAACTGGAACACATAGAATGTCTCAGAGGACTTATCAAAGTGCCTTTCACCACTGTGAGTAGTTTCCAGAGACTGAAAACAATGTTGTTTTATGCAGTGTAAGAAGTCTCAGCTTTTTAACACTCCTTAAATCCCTGCATCTTCCTTTTCTAGTCAAACAGAATAAACCAGTAGACCATTAAATCACAGAAAATCCATATCCATTAATATTGACAGCACCCCCTGGATAGTGACAAGTAGTAAAGCAATATTTGAAACATCAGTACTGGTTCACTACATTTCCAGAGAAGTTCAGCTCTTCTGGAGCTACTACCTGATATTTTCACCCACTGCAGGAGCTCTGCTTTGTGAAAAGCAGCACCAGTAACTCCAGATACATGCAGAGATGATCCACTTGACACACCTCACTCAGCAGAGGAGTCCTACCTCATCCAGTGCTCCAGATGCCGCTGCAAAAACCCCCAAGAACTCCCCTGGCTTCTTGCACCACAAACACATCTCACCACAGCTCCCTGTCATTTGGGATGCCCATGAAGGTCTATCACAGAGAAGTCATCAGTCACTCACTGAGGAGCTCTGGGTCACAACTGGAATTTCTGCACAGCAGTTTCTACTGCTGTTACCTTCCTCTGAGTAACAAGTCTCACTTACCAAGTCCTCACCTACAAGCCACCTCTTCCAGACCTCTGACCTGAGACATCATCCAGTTCCTTTATTCATTAGTCTTGGTCTCCTCCTCTTCCCACACACTTTTCCTCACCACTGCTCTCCTCTGCCCCACTTGCCCAACCAGGCACCTCTCCAGGAAACAACCAGGAGAAGCAAGAAACAACACAGCAAGAACTCACTGTTCTTGTAGGCTTCAATTAGTTTCTCCTCTGTCTTGGCCCGGACAGACACATGGTACTGGCTCTGATTGCTCACAGGGATCTCACAGCTCTGGACCACATATGGGATGTGGGGCAAAGCCTTCTCATGCACAGGAGTGCACTCCTGTTCTCTGAGGGGGGGAAAAGGAGGTTGAGCTGAGATCAGAGGGAACAGGACAGAGCAGATGCTCCATAGGAGTGGTGCAAGCACACTGCTATGGGCAGAGCACGTACTTTGATGCTGGAGTGGCCCTGAAGAACAAGCTGAAGAGGACAGAAGTGACAATCGCTTTCTTCACTTCCCAGCTGCACGTCAGGCCATTCACACCATTGAAGAGGCAGCGAAGGTTCCTGGGCTGAAGGCCACCTTCAGAGAAGATAAGAGCAAGCCAAGTCACAGGAAAGGTCTGGCTTCCCTTCCAGCCCCTCCAGCCCTGCATGTCCCTGCTCCATCCCACGCTACCTTCAGGGGTCTCCCAGGTCACCTCCGTGCTCCACTCGCTGTACTGCCCAGAGAAGCCCCCGGCCTGACCTGGTCTGGCTCGCACACGGGCAACGTAGCTGCTCCCCGGGACAAGGTCCTTCTGGCTGAGATGGCAACGTATGGTGTTGGAGAGCAAGAGTGAGGCAGCTTTCTGTTGTTGGAGGAAAGGAGACAGAGAGGGAAGGGAGGAAATTGGGAAGTAGGGAATGGTGAAAAAGGGTGGAGAGGAGACAGGGAAAAAGTGAGAGGAGCTGGCTGCCAGGCTGTATCTCCCAGTAGCCCCATGCATGTGATGGTCCATTCACAAGCTGCTGTGCAGTGCCCCTTGCTCCCATACTAAAGGGGCTTCAGCATGCAGTCTGCCAGCCCAGCACAGGAAGGCTGAGGCAGAGGCACTGCTGAGCATAATCTACCCCAGCAGGCAAGCCAGCTCCTGCAGCCTGCAGAGCCCAGGTTGTCTTCACTGACAGTTACACTCAAGTTTACAACACAGCTCAGTGCAGAACTTTGTGGGAATCTGGCCAAGATACTTCTCTTAAAAGGAACAGGCTGACAGGTACAGAACTGAAACATATGCAGATCCAGGGAAACAGAAGGGCAAAGGGTATGGGCTCCTAAAAACTAAAATAACAAAACAAAGCAAAACAAAAACACCCAAACCAAAACATATCCTTTTGGAATGGAAAGAAGCCTCAAATGTATTTTGCTATTTTTCCACATGTACCCACAGGTTCCTGTTGGAATGTAATTTAATTCCACTTGGGAGAGATTCAGAGCAAACTAAATTCCAAGTCAAAATGCAATCACGCTGTTTTGTTTTGTTTTGTTTTCCAGTGGAGAACAGATCTCTGCATTCAGCTCAGGGTATTTCACTGGACAAGTCACTTGCAAACACAAAGGAAGCCCCATCCATCCCACCTGAAACAACATTTGTTGCATGTCCTCTTAGTGCCTGAGAAAGGGGAAGTCATTTGCACAACTTCTACCACAGACTCTCAACCACCCCAAAGGGTGCAAACCAGAACAGCCCAGCTCCTTCTCTCTTACCTCCCAGGGCTCCCACTCCCGCTTGTAAGTGACTTCATAGTCCAGGGCATCTCTCAGCCCTTGGCTTCCATCAGGTGCTTTCCAAGTCAGCAAGAAGTCTCCTGATCTCATCAAGCTGATCGAGAGGTTTTGAGGTGGGAGGACCTGAACTGGAAGATGAAGGTGCAACCCATGAGAAGAAATATAAGCTATATAAGCTTCCCCATTTCTGGAGTATCTTATTCCTGCCACAGCAAGTAGCTCCTGCTGAGTCCCCCTTCCAGATCCATCTGCTCTCAGAAACTTGCCTGCTTATCTCCCTGTTCCATCCTCTCAACGTGGAGCTCCAGCACTTTTCACAATAAAAGTGGAATTAATTTCCTGACTGAATGGCAAACACATTCTCAAAGATCCCTAATATTAATTGGAGAATGAGAATCTGGTATTTAATACTTACCATTTTGAAAAAGATCAACATTCAGTTCTGCTTGAAGCACCTTCTTAGGTTTGAAACTGTAAATATCTTCTACTCCTATTCCAAAATTGTCTGTAGTGTTGCGACAAACCCAGTGCACATAGGAGTCTGGGGCCTCATGTAAGTCATTTTCCCTCTGGCGTTGGCAGAACATCTCCTTGTTCTCCCTGTGTGTAGAGAAAGTGATCTATGAAGATATTATTTGGAGACCTACAGTTAATGCAAAATTAAATGCCTAAAACCAATTCCAGACCATTCTGTTGTCATAATTTACTCAGACACTTATGTCCTCTTCTCACTGTACCTATTAGTCCTGTTTCACATCAGTTAATATGACAAAAAATTTTAACACCAGAATTTTTGTCAGCTGCCTTCCTATTTCTAAGTCGTGCTGCAGGATGTTCTATTTTGCTATCTGTTTATTTTTGTTAGTTTTTTGCCTAGCTCTACGTAACCCATATTGTTTGTGTGAGAAATAGTAAGAAGAAAAATAATGTCATGGAAATGCACCTTCTACTCAGAGTAAAAGGCAGTACAGTCTCTTATGATCCTTAGCTTCCTGAAGACATATATTTTGCAGTCCCAGAAACACACAGTTTAAAACAGAATTTCTCCAACCAAAATGTATTTCTGTATCCTTAGCAGTTCTGTTCTGCCAAGGGAACTTACGTATTCATTGAAGATTTCATCCAGAATATTAATCATCCTTTTAGATAGCCTTTCTCCAGGCCAAGGAACATCATGAAAATTAGAATCAATATTTTAAACTAGACAGGAGAGGATAAGCTTTGCATGCTTGCAGTAGCCTGAGCTGCTGGAGAGATGTGTTGCTTCATTTTGTATCCTCTGGAATTTTGTTTGCGCTTATGGCTTCATGCCCAGTGCATTATATTGTTCCAGTTCAGATGAGAAATATTAAGCTGTGAATATCTAAGGCCAAATACTGTCTTCCAGAATAGGATGCAGTCTCCAGCCAACTCTGTGTCAGCAAACATGATTTAGCACTATTGCTATTTTTAAAAGTTGGGTATTAGCAATAAACCAGGGATATTCCTGAAGTATGGGTGGGACTGACCACACCTCTGTGTCCCCTTAAACCAAAGAGTCAGCCCAAGGGTTGTGTAGTCCTGAAGATATTTCTACCTACCCACCAGCATTACCTTACAGTTTGGGATTTAGTCAACTATTCTTCATCTATGAGCTGACCTGTTTAATCACTGGTCATTTTGATTTCAGCTGTGTGACTCTCCACAGATAACACCTGCTTGCCTGATAAGTTCGACTCAGTCATGTTTCCTGATCCACACACTCCACCACGTAACAACGTTCCAGAAAATCCCCCAAAGGTCCAAGTAATTTTTAATCATCTTTTCCCAGAAGTACTAGCCTTAAAGTCCTGTTCCAAAGACCTTCCACTGATTTCCACTGCCTTTAGGACTAGTAATTCTCTCTTCTTTACAAGAAAATCGAGAGCTCTTTCACTTTCCTTTCCTTCCTGTATTCCCAGGCTCTAATTCATTTGCTTCTCAGCTTTCCATCTTTGTCTTCTTCTCTCCTTTGACTATTCCTCCATCTTTGGCCTTTCTTATCCTCACAATTGATCCAGTCTAGTGATTCAGATCAATTTTCATAAGGAAACACATGTAACAGAAAGATACTGTCATAAACAGCCCAGTATCTCTTGCAAGGAGAAATGACAGCACAGATAGACTTACCAGTCCTCTCTATCTCACAGACACACAGTCAATACATGTTACTCAGAAGAGATAAAAACCATACTCTCAGTGATGCTCTGAAATGGGCAACATAATGGGGGGAATGTCTCCTCCCTTTTAGGTTTATAAACAATATCCAGGTTCACACTTGTTCTGACACCAACTTCTCCACCTCATTAATAGCAATCCATATGCTTCATCTCCTTCCATACCTATGATCCCACAACAAAAGTATGGAAAAAGAATTGTAAAGGCGATAAAAATAACTCCAGCAACACACTCCACTCATTCCCCTTTCCTAGGAGAGGCCTCAGAAGCAGGCACAACTTTTACTTCAACCCAGTGACAGAAAGAGATGGCCAAGCTTTCTGAAAACTTGACTGTCGGTCCCCAGGATTCCAAGTTGTGGCCGATTTCCCTTCAGACTTTCATCCAGCACAGCACACTTCAGGTACTTACATGCTAATATCATCCCTTTGGTAAAGAGTCACACCAACGAGGGCATGAGCCTCTGAGTGCTCCATCCATGTGCAAGTCACCTGTGACTTGTAGTCACTGTAGCAGCGCAGGCTCTTCATAGGAACACTCTCTGAGGAAGGAATCCAGGAAAACAAACAAACAAACAAACAAACAAAGCAGTGATTACAAATGTAAAGAGTGAGAGACAGCAGCAGGTAGAGTGATTCTGCCAGCAGAATGGGGAAGGCACTGATAAAAGAACTCTTCTTGTGGCCCGAGCAAATGAATCTCAGTGAAAACACAGACAGAGATGTGACTGTTCTGCACAGCTCCACAACACACAAGTGTCCAAGCCACGCTACAGGTAACAACAATGTGAGTGAGACCTTTGTGCCAGCAAGACACATAATTCTAACCAAGGTATCACTTTTCAAACACGGATTGTTTCCAGGGATTAACAGGTGTCATAGTCAGCAGGCATATGGTGATCTTCTCATTTTTGTGAGTTGCTGTATGGGACTTCTTTGCCACTAACCTCCTAGTAAAGGTTATGACACTAGAAAGGTATATTTAAAAGTTGGATGCTCTGGGAAGAATCTTGTTATGACTCAGAAGTATGCCCAGAGTGATTGGAACTAGAATTATGAACCAGAAATCACCAGATCTCTGGTCAGGGTGGAATGTAAAGCTAAGGCCTGGAATGCCAAGAGACTGGTCTGCCCCATCCTGCAATACATTCTCCTTCAGAGATCTCAACGGGGGCTGTACCGCAGTTGACACTGAGCATAATTCCTCCAGCTACTGGGATGTCAGGCACTGGCATCTGTCTTGGAAAAGGTACCTGTCCAGGAGACACACCTTCTGGCAACACTTGTATTCTGATGTGTTCAGGATGGGTATGGGCTTAGCCTGGTGCAGACATAGGGCACTGGGTGATAAAAGGAGACACTTCTGTTCCTATCAAATTAGATTAAAGGAAAGGGAAGAAAGAGAGAAAGAAAGAAAATAAAGAAAAAAAATACGGAGGAGGGTGGGGGTGAGGGAGAGAAAGAAAAACAAGAACAAAAGGCGGGGGATAAAAGGTAAAAAGTAGCTCTCATTGCATCAGAAGAGGAAAACCATTAAATGCAGAAACACAGGCCATGGATATGGCAGATGGTCTTTATCTGTCAGCAATTCCACAAGAAGTAAATCAGGTCATCTGGATGTTACTTTTGGTAGCCCACACACACCCCCACATCTTGTGTCTCTTCACATGTCTTTACCCCTGTAAACTACAATCTGAATAATGCAGTCCTCTGTTTTCCTGTTTTCACTAACTATCACAGTCTAATCCTCTCTCCTGTTCCCTCATTAACCACTCAGCTTGTTCATATCCGTTTATCCAGTATTTCACTTGTACATACCACCAAAATACAACTGATTTGTCTGCATATGTATCTTCTACACATTGGTTTTGCTCTACATTTCTGTTCTCCTAGAGCACAGAAGATGGTGGCAGAGGGAAGCAGAAAAGCAACAGAAGATGAAGAAGAGCATTAACTGAAAAAAAGGAGACAAATACAAAAAGAAGGATTAAAGAGAATATAAATTTGAAACTCACCTCGAATGTCTTGGACACTGAAGACCAAATACAGATTCAGCAGAAGGATGACAATCTCTTTCATGGTCATATTGTCCTTTGCATACAAGCTTGATCTTAATTCAGAGGATAACTGTTTTCACTGCCCAGTGGCTACTGTCTGGCTCTGCCTATTGTGAAGCTTCTTGTTTTCATTTCACATAAAGAGAAGTAAAACTGAATTAGGGAACTTCTTTAGTCTTTATGTTGGAGTGACATTCTGAAAGAACATCTACCAAGTATTTAGAGCAGGACAAAAATTCTGGTCTTCTTATTGTGTGAGCTTGCAATATGAGCAGAGAATTAAGAAGTAAATGCATATTTCCAAGGAAGTGCAGGGATTATTTCAGCTGAGTAGCAGGAAGAAATAGTCCTAATCTGTGAACTCAGCCTTCAAATTCAGTCATCATTCTGCTCTTCATGCTCAAAGCCTTCCCAACGAACTACAATGATGTTCTGTTTTTTTACCTTCCTTTAGAATATGATCCCCAAGCACACAGGTCCTGAGATCTACAGCGGTGGAATTTCCATATTCATTCACTTTCAGATTCCTGTTCAATGTGCAACTTTTCCAGCTGTTCTCAAAACAAGTTGCAAATTGTAAAAATAAGACCAAATAAATGGTTTCTCTCTTTCTTTTTCTTTTTTTTTCTTTTTTTTTTTTCTTTTTTTCTTTTTGGTGTTCATTGCTATTGAGAGTAGATTGAGTGGTTCCAATATTGGAAACCAGATTTTCAGTACTGGAATTTAAGTCCTTTTGGTGATCTCTTATTGCTCTCTCAAAAGCATCATAAATTAATAAATTCACCTAGTAATGTATATTACAGAGCTGAGACTCTTTTCTACTTCAGGGGAGCATGGAAAAAACCTCTTTCTAAGTTCCTATTGACTTTCAGATTCCTGAATGCCACTTACTTACACCAGAAACAACCAGCTGAGTCCTTGAATAATCATTAAAGCTAAGGAATCCCTTAATGACTCACAAGCCCTTTTATGTGAGCAGATTCTCTGCCATTTTGCTTTCCCTGGAGATAAAGCAGTTCCCTTACCTGGATCCAGAGTTGTCTGTGATGTAGATGATCCAACCTGACAGGTGACTCTCCCTGTCCAGCCTCCCCCCCTGCAAAAGTATCAGAATCCTCTGATGCAGAAACCAGAAAAACCACTCTTCCCTACCACGGGAGACAGGGGATATAAACTGACCACAGCATTTTCTTGGCAAGTAAGTCTTCAGAATAAGTGCTATATCTTTCAAAGAAGCAGACCACGCCCTTTCAAGGAAGGTTTGTGTAATTGCCTATAAAATAGGAAGTCTGTACTTCCTATTTTATACCCCCAAAATCTTGTTTAGATGTCACTGTTTAACTGGGAAGGGAGGGGAAGGAAATCTGTCATTGCCAATCTGCGTGTTCACAATTACTAGATCATGGGACTAATGTATTTTCAGACAAAAAGAGGATTGGCTGCAGCAGAATTGAGAAAGTCTAAGAAAGTATTATCTGGTTTTCACTCCCGTGCTGCTTCTTGCTTTACTCTAGGCTAGAAGATCTCCAAGGCAGGGATCATTCTGTACTTTATGTTTATTCCCCAGAAGATGACCTAGCTAAGGTATTTGGGTGAAAACCACCACCAGAAGGACAGAGACAACCCAGGCAGAAGTCCCTCTCAAAGATACAGCTGTACAAGTCTCTGGCTGCAGAGAATGTCTCGGCCTGTCACACATGTGGGAGAACAGCAGAGAGAACACCTGGTGTGACCAGGTGAATGATTTACTCAGCCTAGTGGCTGAGCTGAAAGAGGAAGTGGAAAGACTGCAGAGTATCCAGGAACGTGAAAGAGAGACAGACTGGTGAAGTAATACCCTACCATCCTTGAAAAAAAAGCCTCAAGGTGGAGGCTTCATGAGAAGCAGAGGATCCCCTGCCCTCATGTTCACCAGGCAGAGGAAGGGGACCTGAGAGAAGAGGGGAACTGGAAGTGGGTCCCAGCTCAAGGCAACAGGTGAACCCCCTCCCAGCATCCCTCACTTTCACATGTGCATTTCACAGAACAGGTGGCCCTGGATCAGGAAAACCAGGTAACTGAGGGTACTGACAAAGGCCCATCCAGGGAGTTGCCAAGGCAGTCTGCCCCATGCATTAGGGCTGCCTCTGCTAAGAACAAGAGGAAGGTAATTGTTGTAGAAGATTCTCTTTCAAGCAGAACTGAGGGCCCCAGTTCCAACCCAGACCTCTCTGAGGGAGGTCTGCTGGCTCCCTGGAGCCTGGGTTAGTGATGTCACCAAGAAACTCCCAGGCCTGGTGCAGCCTCTGATCACCACCCACCAGTGGTCACGCGGGTGGGCACTGATGAGGTTGCCAAGGCAAGTCCCAGGGCAATGAAAAGGGATTTCAGAAAACTGGGCCAGATGATTGAGGGATCAGGAGCACAGGTGGTCTTTTCCTCAGTTTCTTCAGTGGCAGGAAAAGCTGAAAGGACTAGGAAAGCACAACTGATTAATGTGTGGCTTAGAGGCCATTGGATGAACTTTAGGTTTTTCGATCATGGAGATAATTACATGGCACTGGGTCTGCTAGCAAAAGTGGTGTAGAACTCTCAACAAGGGGGAAAGGGATTCTTTGCTGGGAGTTATTTAGGCTCACTGAAAGAGCTTTAAACTAGTTTTGAAAGGGGTGGGGGATAAAACCAGGCCCACTGGAAATGAGCCTAGGTGCAACAAGAGTTACCAGGGCTTGTCCAGAGAACTTCAAGCCAGATTCAAAGGGGAATGGGCATACAAGTGGGCTTGCTGGAGAGGTGCCTGGGTGTTGTGGCTCAGCACTTGTGATGTGGCATTATAGTATTTTTCCCTCTCTGAAATGCTTATGCACTAACACACACAGCACAAGGAATAAACAGAAGGAACTAGAAGTCTGTGTGTGGTGGCACGGCCATGATCTCATTGCAATCATTGAAACATGGTGAGATAGTTCACATGACTGCAACATTGTCGTGGTCCTTCTTAGGAAAGACAGGGCAGCAAGGTGAGGTGGTAGAATTGCTCTTTATGTGAGAGAGCAACTGGAATGTATTGAGGTCTCCCTGGGGATGGATGAAGAGTAGGTTGAGAGCCTATGGGCAGGCTAATATAAGGGACATGGTTGTGGGTGTTCATAACAGGCCATCGGATCAGGGTGGGGATGTTGATGAAGCTTTCTACAGACAGCTGAGAGTCACCTCACAGTCGCAGGCCTTGGTTGTCATGGGGAACTTCAATCACCCTGATACCTGCTCGGAAGACCACACAACCAGGCAGGTACAGTCTAGAAGGTTCTTTCCATGCACTGATTATAACTTTTTGACTCAGGTGGTGGAGGAACCAACAAGGAGAGGTGTACTACTAGACCTAGTATTGACAAAGAGGGACTGGTAGAAGATTTCAAGGTTGGGGCCACCTTGGTTGTAGTAACAAAGAGATGGTAGAGTTCAGAATCATGTGCAGCAGGCACTGAGCATCTCACAGGGTCAAAACTCTGGATTTCAGAAGAGCTAACTTTGGCCTTTTCAAGGAACTGCTTAGAGAAATCCAGTGGGATAGGATACTGTAAGGAATGGGGGCTCAAGAGAGTTGGTTAATACTGAAGCACCACTTCATCCAAGCTCAAGATCCAAGTGTCCCAAAGAGTAAGAAATCAAATAAGAGAGCCAGGAGACCTACATGGTTGTCCAGGGTACTACTGAACAAACTTAAGTGGAATAAAGAAGTTTATAGCTCATGGAAGGAGAGGTTGACCATTTGGGAAGAATACAAGAATGTGGTCAGAGGGTGTAGGGATGCAACAAGGAAAGTTAAGGCCTCCTTAGAATTAAAACTGGCAAGGAAAATCAAGGACAACAAGAAAGAACAACCTTTATCTCTGTAACCCTTTAGTGATGACTTCTGTCAGCTCCCTTAGCACACATAGGTACATCCCATCAGGGCCCATGGATTGGAAGATGATCTTTAACACAACCTACTTCGATCAAGGTAAAGTCTTCCTCACTCCTGACTTCTTCTGTGGTCTGGAAGGTTTGGGAATCCTGATTCTATGATATCTTGGGGTGGGCAGGGGAAGAGAGAACTACCTTTATCTCTGTAACCCTTTAATTTGAGCAATATGTTTAAAAGTAAGTTTTACCAATTTTAGCAACAATTAACAGTAAATTATAGCTATTGTAGCACATAAAGAAAGCAAACTGAAACTGGGGAGAAGAGTTCATCTGACATTACACTGTATCCAAGGCAGTCACATTGTTTTAAATCCACCTTTAAAACTTAGCCCAGTAGCCTTCAGTAACAAGATCTATAGGAAAGTTGGGTTGCCATAAGGGAAAGACACAGCCAGGTTTGCACTCTTCAGGGGTAAACTAAAGGGCATTAAGAAGAGCCTTCAGATACAGAGCCTTCAGACAGCCAGAGTCTGTCTGTCCTGCATTGCCTCTACACCTTCTCTAAATCCCTGTAGTACTGACCAAAACCACAGTTAGCCCAGTTCAGCTCTCACAACAACATCAGTACACAAGATAAAAAATGTATAGTGTGAAGAAGGGAAACATCCAAACCAAGAAGGAGAATATGATGTATCTGAGGAAATTATGTGCCATTTGGACTTCCAGGAGGTGTGCATAAAAAGCCTGCAAGATGAGGAAGGGAATATGTGACTTTGCTGGACGGTCAGATTTTACTTTGCATTATAGTATAAAGGCAGAAAGAAATCCTCTTGCTGTGATCTTCAGAGGCCAGTAAGTTTATGTATGTTCCTCCCCCACCCTTGGAAAAGAGGTTTCTTGTTTCCTAGCAGAGATTTTTCCTCCCTTCCCTTCTTCATTTAAACAACTCTTCCATCTTCAAACAGATTTGCTGAGTTGCTGGTTGTATCACACAACCTAGCTGTCAGCAAAATCTTCAGATGTTACTTGCTCTGTTGAGCTCCAAGAACAGGTAACGAGGAATCCTGCACATCAGAAGCTTCGCAAGCCACGCATGCCAATTTTTCTTGTTTCAGACTTAAAATGCTTTCTGTTATATATCAC